CAGGGTTTATATGGTTTTCAGGGTTTGTGGGTTTGGGTTTAGGCCTTGTAGGGTTTATAGGGTTTAGGGTTCAGGGTTTATATGGTTTTCAGGGTTTGTGGGTTCGGGCTTAGGGCTTATAGGGTTTATAGGGTTTAGGGACAGGGTTTAGGGTTTAGCGTTTATGGGGTTTTAATTTCGTGAAGTTCCAAAACTGTCTGGTGCTTAGTAGGGAATGGGGGAATGGGTTATTGGGACTACTAGAAGGGACCTTAAGGGACTATCATAAGGGATCCGTTCCCCCATTCCCTACTAAGCACCAGACAGAAAAATTGATGCTGTAAGGCCGCCTGAAAGCCGTATTTGCGGAACCGAAAGCCCTCAAATGAATCATGCAGGGGCCTAGATAGTTACCGATACCATTTGGGGACTCCTTGTTAGAATTAGAGTAGAATATACCCCGAAACCCTAGTCTAATTATTGAGGCCCCTAGGTCAGTGACGGCTCTCTGAGGAGCGGGGCACCGCGTTTGGAAGACTAGACTTAGCGGTTGCAAAAGCTGTCGAACGGATTCTTTCGGGCTTTATTGGGTCATACGGGTGTTGTAGCATTTAAGAGCTGGGACTTGTTTTCAACAAGAAGACAAGCAAGAGGCGGCTACTTTGCGCGATTTATTGCGCTGAAAAGAACAACATAAACATTTATGATTGCGAAAAAGCAGCCGAACAGCCAGATCGCGAATGAGACGAATCCCCAAGCTGCTTTTCAACCTGGGGATAAGGGTTCATTGCCCGAACGGTACGGTAGCACCATGGCGTTCTCACTTTTAGGAGTGAAGAAACTGTAACCCTGAACCTCATCGTGACAGGAGACAGCCGCAGCTTTACACTGTTTCATACTTTGCGTTGGAAAGTATTGCAAGTGTCTGATGCCGCAGCCTCTGATACATGAGAATCAGCACATGCACACGGTGATAACTTTGCCTTGGCTCTCTTTGTCTCTCTCCCTCTCTCTCTCTCTCTTTCTGTGTCTCTTTCTTTCTGTCTCCGCCCACATAAGTATATCTATATATATATATACACAACCACATTTATGTATACATGCCAATATGCACATATACAATATACTTGAGTGAGAGTACACCTCCAACCTCAATCTTGACCACCAACCGCGTTAGATTTGTCGCGGCAGTCTCTAAATATGAGAGCACACCCTTTCGCCCTAAAACTCCAAAGCCCTAAACCTTAGATGTAAAGCCCTGTAACCTTCAACCCTAATCTGCAAAGCGCTGAGCACCAACACCCTAAAACAAAGACCCCGAATGCGGAAACCCTTAGCACGAAAACGCAATCCCAAAACCTGTTGTCACAGGTTCGAAGCAGACGATGTCGACGAGGCGCATGGAGTTGGTTTGGAAACCCCGAGCCCTACATCACAAAGCTCTAGTGTAAGAGGTGCCTCGCAAGCTTCGGCTATATATATATATATGTATATACATATATATATATATATACTTTTTATATATATATATATTAATATAACATATATATATATATGCTACCCCCCCCCCCCTCATGTGCCTAC